CTATGGCGACCTCAGTGAGTGGTGTTTGTATTATCTCCAAGGTAATGGATATAAAAGTAAGGTTCAGTTTCAAACTTCAGGATATATGTAACAGTACATACTTTTTAAGGGCAGCTGCAGTACCTACTAAAAGTAAAAAAAAAAGGAATGCAATTTGGAAAGCACCCATGGTTTCTGGAAGATGAAATTTTTTGGCGCTTTGAGCACCACAAGCCAAGTGCCATCTAGTTCAACTAGATTGGAGAGAAGGCAGACATTTCTACAGCCGATATCTCCAGCACTCTACAACTCACACAAAACAATCTAGACTGATAAACAGCACTGCAGGTAAGAGGAAAAATATGTAGTTTTAATTTTGGGGTGAACTGTCCCTTTTAAATGTCCTCATTGTAGAGCTGGCAGTGGCAGTGATGTTACAGTATGGGCCATAACATTTTGGGCAGTTTTTATAGTTTTGAAAATGTTCAGCCATTTATAAGTTGCCATTTGCTTTAAACAGCTACCTCTGTTTTGTGTTCACACTTCATTAAGTTTATTATTATTGGCTGTAGTCCCCTACTACTTGTCTGGCTAATGGCTACATCATCATTCACCACACATTACACTGTGAGGGCTCAAGCTGATTAAACAACCCCTTTGATCAGGAAGTCTCTGAGTGATTCACCAGAGATGAAGGTACTGCGAAGGCACCTGTGCTCAGGCGGATCCGAACTGACGATACGAAGGTTGAAAGGTTGTGAAATGTATCCCATGAATTCAGGTGCTGTAGGTGAGAATGTGCCTTGTTCTTGTGTGTGGAAACGAGCAGTCTTATAGAGGTGGAGAGCGCTTAGCGTTATTCATGGAGGTAGGTAGACAGTGCTCTGCCAGAATGCACACCCTTAGTCGATGTACAGACAGGAAAACAGACCCATTAGTTTGTAAATTTCCATGTTGGTGTGTACTTTTGTATGTTAACAAGTGTGTGTTTTGGGTTACATTTCCCCCAGCTTCTCTGATTAAAAAGTGACAGTCATGACACCGGCAATCTGTCACTAACAAGCCCAATTCCTTACAGATTGTGTTTTATGCACCGAGCCAGGTTCTTACTACCACCTACTGCAGCATAAAATTATGTCTTTGTTTATGCTCCATTGCACCATTGCTTCTCAGTTTGACACCTAGCTTCTTATTTCTCACTATCAGTAATGGTTTACAAATGAGACGTGAAGGATCGGCAAATTAGATAATGCTGTCGGCTGAAGGTTTATTTTCCCTTCTCGTGAGCACTCCATTGAGAACACGTGTCAGTCACTGGAGACCATTATCTGACAGTATGTCTCCATTAACCCCTCTCTCTCAAGTGCTTTGCTACAGAGGGAAGAAATACAAATCTGTGATATGAGGTGTTTTTTTTTTTTTTTTTAATATTCTCCATCTTTAACTGATTCACCACGCCTGCTAGAAGTGTGAAAAATGAGTTTCAAGCCTAATCTGCATGCCATACTTTAGCCCTGCCTAACACATCTGCCTGATTTTCTGTGAAAAATGGCTAGATAGAGATCATCTTTAGATGTAATATTAACATCGCTCAGTACAGTGCGGTTTATACAACAGTTTTGTTGTTGTTTGTGATCTGACTCGTATGTCAAGTCCATTTTCAATATGACACAGACTTTGTAATATTTGATAGTATCAGACTGTAATCACTAAAACAGATTGTACGTTTTTTGATAATGGATCTGCACTTAAGGAAAACACAGGCTTTGTGTCCTGTTGAACCTCTTGTTTCTTATATTTACACGCTGTACCAGGCATCGTTTGATACTCTGTTCAACACACAAAGTACAGAATAGTTTGCTCTTTTTATGACATACAAGCTTTTAAACAAAAGTAATACGAACATCAACATGACAACTCTCACCAATCTCGATTTTTTTATGCTCACCCCATCTTGTCACATCTTGTTTACCAGTTGTTCAGCTGTCCAAAGCTCACAAAATAAAAAATGGTGAAATGAAATAGAATGAGTTAGTGACAGCCTAGAGATTACTCAAACACTTACGAATAAATATAAAGTTAGAAAAGTGTACAAGAGTTTACCACAAAGAGTATTTTAAGAAGTAAGATTTATTTGATGTTGATAAGGTTTTAATGATGCTTCCATAGTTTACACTGCTCATACCAACAGACTGTAGAAAAAATAATGGCGGAAGCGTTACATCACCAACTGGTTTTTGGACTCACATTTTGAAGCCTAGATTTTTACATTTTGGCACTCACCATCTGTTTTTTTTGGATCCAGAAGTGATCATATTTGGACGAATGGAGCTACAGAGGAGCGAGGAGTGGCTCTGACTTATAAGTCATTTTCTCAAATGAACTCTGGACAGTGTATATAGAATCGGGTCCAGATATTGTCTAGAGTTTCCCTTTCACACATGTAGCCCACAACAGGAGATTGTCCATGTGAGAAGCCTTTACACCTACTGGAAATACTTCAATTAGTTTAGGCGAGGGGTGGCACCTGGATAGAACATGCAAAGGCACATTGCTGTCACATCGCTTGTTGCTAATTTGGTAATTTGGTCCCTTGCCGTTCCTTGAATTTGTCTGACGATTTTGGCGTGGCACTTACCATCAGATGTTTCCGAATCTCATCATCTATCCAGTTAGATGTTTTCGTTGTTGTTTTTGGGTAATTGATCCTTCTTCTTTACCCTCAGATGTTCTTTTTCTTCTGATTTCAAGCAAGCCTCATGTGACGCTTGCTGCGACTTCCCCCAAAGTGACCTGCTCTATTCTCACACAGGCTGAATTGGACATTACCTGGGCTTTGTACTAAGGTACAAGCTGGCAGGATGAAGTCTGTTTAATGTCTGATCCAACTGATTTGGACATTTGCATTGTCACATACAGCTCCTCCAGGTAATCTCTCAGCAATTTCAGGTATGCAGTCCATGTGTGAAAGGGGCTATAGGCTGTGGGGACACCTGGCACTTGTAAGGTCTACGCCCTTCATTATGCAGAACTTTAAGCTTTAATAAAATGTAAAATGGTGAGTTATATAAAAAGTCACCCCCTGCACTACTGTCATGAATAGGGAAATTAGCTACAGAGACCAAAACTGTTGGGCATTTTAACATGGGGGTCTATGGAGATTGATGGGCTTCTGGAACCAGCCTCAAGTGGCCATTTGAGGAACTTCAGTTTTTGGCACTTTTGCGTTGGCTTCATTTTCCAGCCCTGGAGGTTATCGGCTGCTCATTACCACAAAGGTTTTCTAGTTATACAGGAAGATTGATTGTATATGCTTGTGCACCGTACTTGTAAGTTTTATTTGTGTGGGTGTGTCAGAGTTGTGAATAGAATCAGTTGCAATCAGAATCAAACTGAGAACCAGTTTGTCCTGCAGGACCACAACATTAAATCTATCACACCGACCAACACCCACCTCAGTCATGCTCTATTTTGAAAGGTGTGACCACTTCCCCAAACAACACAAAGCAAACACTTTGGATTTGTCCTGCTTTGATTTCCTTGGCTGTGTGCCTGTGTGTCATATTTGTAGGAGGGTGCATCACTGTGTGTTTGTTGTATCAGGTTTGTCAGGATCATCACAGTCAGGCTTGGCTACACAGAAAGCAACATGTGATTACATATTCTGAGTGTTGTGAACAGTGTGTTATGCATTGTTGCACACTGAATATAGTCTATTGGGATTATAGCTGTTGCAAACATTACTTGACTTCACTCATAAATACTAAACAAATGCTGCAGCTTGATATTTCCCAGTAGTCCAGCAATCAGGGTTGTTCTTATTGATTTACAATAGTACAAACTAAACCCAACAACCTTATTTAATGACTCCAGCTGGTCTGTCCGTTAATGGCGCCTAAAGATGTTTGAGCTAATAGAAGAAAGAGAACACTGTGGTCTAACTGAAAGCCACAACCTAATTATACTGATGTGCAGAAAACGTGAATAAAAAAGATACAGCAGTGCTTTGTAAAGGAGCCAGTAGCTCTTAACTTGTTCTTAAGTGTCACTGTAGCTTTGGTTCACAGTAAAGTCTCAAAGGCTATAGCAATAGTAGTTAGGTAAAAGAGTGCTTATTGCAGTATGGTTGTACGTCGGACTTCCATCGCAATGAATTAAAGTAAGCAACTTTCCTGTTCCAATCTAAAGGAGAAAGTGTCAGCAGTGCATTGTACAAGCTTTGGAACGTTGGGACAAGCTAATAGGCAGCTTTTCTCGAAGTCAGACATGTCCTGGAGGAATAAATGACAGAATTCACTAAATCTGTGATACAATACTGTATGTGTCAGGGTCATTCTCTGTAACCTGTTTGCATTGAAAGCAAATGTGGAAATTGATGTTGCATGTATTTATGTAGTGATACATATGCAAATAGTAAGGAAGGGCCCATTTCCTCAGCAGGTCGGAGTCTCAATTTTCTGGTCAGCTAGTCTTCTGTCCCTTCCTATGATCTCCTCTTGTACTGTTCTCTTTTATCCATGCCTCCTTTCAAATATCATTTTTCTGTTTCCTCAGCCTCAGTTCCTCAGGCCTTGTCCCCTCTGCCCTCACAAGTTCTCCGCTTACCGTTCTGGTGGTATTTGCAGGAGGGAGAGAAGAAAGTAATGTTACAATGAGGGTCTGCTGTGCGCATAAGTGAATCAGTCATACTTCAGTGCAAAATAATTACTCTTATCACACAGAGATTAAACATGCACTTGCCTAATGGAGGTTTTAGTCTTTCAACCTCTCATCTTTCAGTGTCTGTTCAGCTTTCTCCTGCCTTAGATAGATAGCACTGGAGTGTGTATGTGCGTATGGTTGTCTGTTTGTGTGAGGGAAATGCATGATACTGACATTACTATTTAAGTAGACAAGCATATCCTTATTTGCACCTCATTTTTAACTGCCCCTTTGATGTCAGCTGGTCTGCGTGTCCCTGAAGTCAAGCTGAACATGATCCTTAAGTGCCTTTGCTGACCCTTGAACTTTTGTCTTCTCAGGTACTGAACCCTGCCTGCTCTGACGCCGTGACTCCAGACAGACACACTGGCTGACAGACGCTGAAAAAGAAGTGGGAAGATTGGAGGACAGAGGGAGGTGAGTGAAAAGAGTAACAGAATCTGTTCTTATCTCTCAATCTGTATATCTCCGTATACAGTTTCTATACTGCTGCAAGATTTTTGGCTGATAGTTTACAGAGCAATCAGCCAGAAAAAAACACATAACTGCGACTCTGATTATGGAGTCCAGTTTATTGCCAAGCAGGTTTTCACATACAAGGAATTTGCTTTCGTTTTTTGCTGCAACGACAAGATACATTAATAAAGCAAAGAAAAAAATGACAATAAAAATATCTGAAAGGGTTGCGGATTGAACCTGCCAGCCAGCTTGCATGCTCTCATGTTAAGGTGTGTTCACACCGGACCTGTTTTTTTTTTTTTTCGCTGTCGCTCGGTTCACCCCTTTGATTTCGCTTCATCGCTCAGTTGCAATCACTCATCAATGTGGCAGAAATCAACAGACTCGCTTTTTCGCTTTGATGATGTCATAGAAGCAATCGGTCTATCTTTTATTTTTTTTGCCGGGGGGGGGGGGCTTGACTGTCATGACATGTCAGCTTCATTAAAAGTATAGCTGCAAATTAAAAGCAACAATAGATGTAAAAACACACAGAGACAATACATCTGTCTGAGCATTTATACCTCCAACCGCGGCAGCGGCTGAAAATTATACATTTTGATACATACAGGTATAGGCTGCTATACATATTGCAAAACTCTGTGGGAGTACACCAAAGCATACATTTTAGTTTCCAAATATTTATTTGAAAACGAAACCATTCATACGGTCAATAAAAAACATTTTGTTAATAATAAAAAACGAACGTAATCTCAACAGTGACCGCGCCAGCCGGCGGGACTGCGCAGTCCTAGTGTAAAGCACCACGGACAGCGCCAATGCATCTATCTTTCCCACCTCCATCCCTCCTACCTGCGCAAGTCAGAAAGAGGGAGGAGAGAAGGCGTGGAGTGGGTTTTACACACATCACACCAATCAAATGAGCCCCTCTCCTCGCCCTTAAATGTGCTGCACGAAGGCGTAATGAGAGTTTACTCAATTCGCCATGGCAGAAGAGAGCAGCAGCGTCAGACCGCCAAACTTCTCCCAGGAGGAAACTGATTTGGTCCAGGAGGTCCAAGCTCGCAGTGTCCGAATATACAGAACTGCGAGCAGACCTCCACGGGCTGATGATGCAAAGGTAGCCTGGGAGGAGGTCACCACAATTGTAAATCAATGTTGTGTTTCTCTCGTGCAAAAAACAGGTCCAGTGTGAACACACCTTTAGCGTAGCTATTCTATGGGTTCTCCAGCTTCCTCCCACAGTCCAAGGACATGCAGGTTCAGTTAACTGGTGACTAAATTGCCCGTAGGTGTGAATGTGAGCGTGAATGGTTGTCTGTCTCTGAGTGTCTGATAGTCTGATGACCTATCTAGGGTGTACCCCCCCCCTCTTGCCCAGTGACAGCTGGGATTAACTCCAGTCCCCCTCTGACCCTGCATAGGTTATGCACTTACAAATTTTGGATGGACTATTTTAAAAGATGCACAGCCTAACTGTAGCTAGGCTGGAATGTGTAAAAATCTGCAATCTGGGGAATCTGCAAAGGCTCACAGTAATGAGAATAAAAAGACTATGCTATGGACCACAACCTCCTGCCAGAAGGGAGTGGTTCAAGGAGTTTGTGTCCAGGGTGGAAGAGGTCAGCTGCAATCTTTCCTGACCACCTCAGGGTCCTCGAGGTGTGCAGGCCCTGAAGGGATAGCAGATTGCAGCCAGTCATCCTCTCCGCAGAGCAAATAATGCGCTGCAGTCTGCCCTTGTCCTTGGCAGTGGCAGCAGCGTACCAGATGGTGATGGAGGAGGTGAGGATGGACTCACTGATGGCAGTGTAGAAGTGGACCATCATTGATTTTGGCAAGTTGAACTTCTTCAGCTTCCACAGGAAGTAAATCCTTTTTTGCATTTTTGTAGAAGTTGAAATCTTCTACCTCTCTTTATATCTCATTCCCTCCTACTGTATGCTGCTCTGAACCATCATCCAGGACAGTGTCGGTGTCCATCTATTGTTTCCCATTATGGAGGATGACTTGTATGATCTTCACCATCACTATAATCAGATAACTAGGAAGATCCATGAACAACCCCTCAGATGGAACTTTGACCTTGGGAATGTTCTGAATCCTCTGCTGTGCAGTTAGGACAGATGCTGTTCCTTGCAGGTATTGTAAGGTTTCCTCCGGGCACACGAATCTTAAACATGGCCCTGTGCATATTGCCAGCACCATTTGTGCTCCAGGATCCACTTCACCTTCCGGTCATCGGAGAGGGCTTTGAATGGATTGCAAACGCTGAGGGAGTGATCCTTTGTGTCACAATATGGGCAATAAGGCCTAACTTTATTTGTCCTGTCTCTGCTCTTAGTTTAGATAGTTATGGTCTTTTCTTTGACCTGGGTAGTTGTGTGCTGCTCTGATTTTCTAGGATTAAGTGCACTCTCCGGGTGTAGATCAGTGCTCAACTGGCTAACCGTTTGGTCTGTGACTTCAGATGCAGCCACGAAGTGAGATTAGGCAGGGTGTCCACACAAGTCTGTAGGATACCACAAATTAAGCAGTATTGCACAAAGCTGTCTCTGTATCCGCTGGACGTCTTACTAAGAGTTGGTCAAGTGGCACTTAAGCTCCTATTTGTTAGGTCCCCCCAGCATCTTCAGCATCAGCATATCCACAGAAGAGTGGGTACACAGCAAGAAGTTTTCAAAAGCTTCGACATCACCATACATGATTGGTATTCTTTACTTATCTGTGTATGTGTCCCACATTGGTCCCACATTGATCTTGAGGTCTGGTCCTCGGTATTACAGACGTACACTCAGGATGCCTGTAGGTCAAACACATTTGATCACAGCTGGTCAGGGGCTGTGGTCCGAGTGGTTGCTGAGTTCACTAGCTGCTTTGGTAAACTGCCTACTTATGTACGTAAAGTAGCTTTTATGCAATCCACCCAGCGGCCTTCCCCACTGTCATCTCAGTGGGAGTGTTTTGGGGTCAGCATGTGTGTGTTTATGTGTAAATAATTGATTGCTGTGGAGGTTTTAGTGGATCGCTGGTGAGAGACCAAGAACCAGGCAGAGGCGGCACTGCGCTGCTCCTCAGTGTGCACAACATAACAGCTATACCATGTCTGCTGCTGCTCAGTGGGCTCTCTGTGTTGTCTGGGGTGGCCTGTTGATGTCGAGTCAGTTTAGTTTGTAATGCTGCTGCGAGGATTAGGCGATGAATTTTAGAATCACAGAAAATCTTAACAAACATTAATTGACAACAACTTGGATGAAAAATTAATCATTACAATGATTTTTGAAGCCAAAGTACCACATGCTAGCGTAATTTACTGCTTTTCTGTGTCCAGTATTACTGTAAAACGAACATGTCACTTTGAACAGATTCAGGGTAACAAGCCAAATATGTTTTCTGGTTACTGCACATACTGTAAATCTTATTGAGTTTTTCCAGCAAGAAATATTTTCATTTTCTCCCAGAAGCAAAGCCTTCCCCGTCTTTCCATTTCCTGCTCTTTTGTCACACTTTTCTCATCTGCTGCCTCCTCCACTCTCATTTTATCTGTTTATTTCTTTATCTCGCTCGGCCTCCTTTCACTAAATGTCTTCATTTCTTTTCTGCCTCCTTCTTGCTTTCTCTTCCTGTGTGTCATTCCTTCTCTCTTTCTTGCCCCCTAGCCGCAGTGTCCTTGAGAAAGCAGTGACTTTGCCGGTGAGCGCAGCAGAGCGCATCACTCCCTCTCCCTCTCTCTTTCTCTCTTTCTTTCCTGCTCACACTCTCTCTCACTGACACTCACTCAATCCCCTGATCACACACATACACACACACACACACACACACACACACACACACACACACACACACACTGGGTCCATGGCAGCACTGTCAAGCAGAACCAGCCTTTACAAGTCTCTTTCCTTTAGTCTCCATAAATAATTCATCACCAGTAACATTGGCTATACTTTATGCAAATATTGACAAACCTATTGCAGAGAAAAATTGAGACAGTCGCTTCCTGTGTTGAGCACAATTTTTGCCCACTTACTGTTTTCAGAAATATGAAGTAAATAATCAACAAAGTGCTGATACATGCAAAATATGTCAAAGTCATGGCACAGTGGAGCGTTCCCCAATGTGCAGAAGGAAGTGAAAGAGATTTATTCATTAGTTGATAGATGTTTTTATTTATTAATGCTTGTCAGTGCCCCCACAATGGCATGCTGTGTGTCCATTAGAAAGACCAATAATTTAGTGTCAGTTAAACTCACTTAAATTAACTCGCTCGGATGATGACACATTGACGAAAACAGATCTAAATGCAGAAGTTAAATTATTCTTCCTCAAGGTTTGTTACAGAATTCGGACAAATTGCCCTCAGGTGATACTGCAGCCAGCCTGCCAGCACGGAAACACAATCCCTTTTGTGCCCTCCTCCTCCTCATTAAAGGTGCCCTCCACTAATCTTAGATCATGACGGCCCATTGTCACAGTTTTCCGAAGCTTTTGAAATATAGATGGAGTCTGATTGTCTGGTTGTAAGATGAGATGTTATAGTCTCTTGATGCTGTTGGTCTCTGTTTTCCATTAGAGTCCATAGAGTGCGTATTGGGTCACTGCTTTTTCCTGCCGCCTTACGTGTTTTGTGTTGGAGATCAGGTATCCTGCGGTTACCTAGCTGCAGCACTATATGGCGTAAGTGTTTTTGTAACAGCATCCTGGAAAATTACCTTCACTGACACATTGATATGTACAATAATTTTCAATTTTTTACCATAAGTACTTTTTCACTTCATGACAAAAACTCAGTGCCGCCATGTTATCTCTCTCTCGCTCCTTCTCTCTGTCTCTCTGTGTATCTCTCTCAGTCTTCTTTATGTTTGTCCCACGTTCGGCTGAAAATGCATCCGTAGCCATGGCGACCATTCCCAAGGGGAAAAGTTGATGCTGAATCTCATCTCACTCTCCTCTACCTCCTT